GTCCTAACATTTTTAAAACAATTGGATTAGATTTGAATTTTTAAAAGGTGTACGGTTACTTATGACCGGCACTGTATTGCCAAAAAATATAAGTCTTATCATTGTATTCTCAAGTATATATTGTCAGAATTGAATAAAATAAAATTATGAGAAAATATATTTTAATTCTTGCCATTGAGATATTCAAGAATAAAAAAATATTAGTAAAAATAAAAATTTTTTTAATTAAAATTTATTATATTTTTATTAGTGCTTCTATATTTAATTTGTAATTACATAATAAAATTTATTAAAGATAGTAGAATAAAGACAATAAATATTCATAAATATAAAATAATTATATATATAAAATAAAATTTTTTATTTTATTAAATGAATAGTATAGATTTCATACATTTAATCTGTTTCCTTTTAAAAAAAAAGAATTTTGTAATATATATATAGATCTTCACATTAATTTGTATACTAACTAGAAGTAAACTTTCAGATCAAAGTATAATTAAAACATATTATAAGATATGTAATTTTAGTTATTATCCATATATACAGAAGACACATTTAAACTTATTTTCCATATATATGATATAAAAGATTAGAGTATATTATTAAATAAAGTGACAGGAGATGCCTGTACTAATCTTATACTTTTTAAAATTTCTTGATCAGTAGAAAAGAACTTTTCACTATACTTTATATTTAATTAAAGGTACTATTTGTTTCTTTATATATATTTCTATAAATGATAATAAGATTTATATTTCTGACTAATAGATAGATAGAAAAACCAATACTAATTACTGTCTCTATTTTATTTCTTATCAAGACCCAAATTTTAATTTCAATATATTTTAGGATAGCTATATATTCAGGTATTCCATTTTATAAGTAATCCTCAATTACAATTGTATTGAGAAGACAAATCCTTTTCAATCTAATTGAAAATAATAGCAACTTTCTGATTACAGTCTGTAAGTACTATTGAAACTTTACAAAACTCAATATTTTATTTTTTATATATCTTAGAAATAATATCAGCATAATCAATACAAAGTGTTCTAAGATCTAAATTATAAAAAAAATATAATATATGAAAGATTGAATAATATTCAAAGAAATGGCTTATTCCTTAAACTGTATTGTAGGCAAATTTGCCTACAATTTTATTTTTTTAACAAAATTGTTTTATATTTTCTAATGCATATTACTCTTTAATTATGTATTCTTTCATTATATATTTTAGCTTATTTAAATCTTCAAGACAAAATTAATCTTTTTTCTTAATAATCAAAGTACAAATAACATAATAATATTTTTCTCAAAAATGTATTACAAAAATAAGTATCAAAATTTGTTAAAAATTGGCCTATAGATTAAGGGATAAGAATAATAACTTATATTCTTTAGCAAATTTTTATAAGTTTTTGCCTATGATATTTATCAAATAATATTGTTTACTTTTAAACCTTTCAAAAGTTTATAAACATGTTCTTTGGATTATTTAGTATTAAAAAAAAATTTGATTAATAAATTATTAAATACTTATAAATTAATAAATTTAATAATTAAATTTAAATTAAATTTTATATATCTTATTATATTTCAATTAAAAATTATTAAATAAAAAACAATTAATTAATTTAAAATTAGAAAATAAAATTAAAATTTTAAAAACTAGAAGCTGAGAAATAATTAATAATTTCTAAATACTATTTATACAAAGAAGTTAAAAAAATAAAAGGAAATAAATTATTAAAATACTTATTATTGTCTTGAATCTCATAGATTGAAAAAGTGAATAGCAGAATGGATTTAATATCATTATTATTAGGGTCATATTTTAATAACATTTCTCTTAAACTATGATATAACAAAAATGCTCTCAAATTTTTCTCCTTAATTTCTTTAATAAACTTTACAAAGAGCCATTGCAGATCCTTTCTTCAACCCATTAATTTGAAAAATGCATAACCAATAATCTTCTTATCACAGAGGATTTTAAAATCATCTTTGTTAAGTTGCAAAATATAATCATCTCTATTACCAGAATCAGTAGACATCACTAGACTGAAAAATAACATAAGGTAGAGAGTAATGAGCAAAATAAGTCGACGCATGTACAGTATATATATACAGTATATAGTTAAAAATATATAGTCATGTGATTTATTATAAAATCACATGGTGATCTACATCTGAAATTTCGGTTTATAGATGATAGCCACCATATCAATTTTTTGGCGTAAATCGTGACGTCAGACGCGATCAATTCCGTTACATAGAACGGATTAATTCATGTTGGTATTTCACGCTTCGTTTTGCCAAGTGACGAGTTTCTGGACATGACTAAGGTTAACTTAAATATTAGTGCATCTGAAAATCAGAGAAACCCAGTCAATCCAAATAAAAGAACAAAGATCGTTCATAACTCGGAAGAAGCCGTTTCGACGAACAGACATGTCCATAACGATAATGCATCAGAAGACGAAGATAACCTAAGGCACAAAAAACCAAAAGTTAATTCCAACCAAGTAGAACAAATAAAATATAATTCCGTCGGGTTTGATACATCCTTGGAAGAAACATGTGATTTTGATCAATTGAAAGTGAGCGAAACGAAAACCTACTGTCCCGAGAAAGCTTTCGTATTCAAAGCCATTGAAAAAAAAGACGCTGGTGTGGAACAGCAGATAAACCAATTAATGGACGAGGATATTATATTTGAAGATTGGATGGAAGGTTGGGAAGATTTTGATTTTACAAATTGGAGCGAGAACGAGAGCAAGGCGAACCACGTCAAATCGCCAAGAGATCGCGTACGAAAATTGGAAGTTTTTCAAGTTCAGCTTGGACATTATTTTTCACAAGGAACTACGAAAAATGAAAAGGTAAATAAAAGTTGTCGACGCACTTCATAATGTTACAAAATTAAATTATGACTTCTACGAAGGTGGTCACTCTGATTGATGAAAATGGTGACTTCTGCTATTTACATTTGCGTGAGGATTGGCTGGAGACATCAATATGTGATGGTAGTCTTATTTGAATCTTATTTCATATTCACAAAAAAATTTTGAATTGTGAAAAGCTAACAGAATGACACTGTTGGTTGACAGGTAACGTCGTCAATGTTCTCGGAAAATTCGATGATGACAGCAAATGTATAGTCGATAATTCACAAGGTCT